AAGGCCAACAACTGTGCCAAGTTTGGAAGAAATTGGTAGCGGTTACCAAGATATATACACATGTAACCATAAGTGGGCGTGGCTACCCTCATTTTCCAAACATTTATAATATTCTTATTTTTCGTCTAAAACTTATTATAAATATCAATTTTGAGTGAATAATCTCCAGTAGTTACTAAAATATCGCAGTTTTCGTATTTCTGAAAATTACTGTTATATGGGAGGTAGACTTGGTTATTGTCCGATTTTGTCGATTTTCGGCCATTTGGTATGTTGTAGCAGGACCAACAACTGTGCCAAGTTTGGAAGAAATTGGTGCAGCGGTTACCAAGATATACACATGTAACCATAAGTGGGCGTGGCTACGCCCATTTTCCAAAAATTTATAATATTCTTATTTTTCGTCTAAAAATTATTGTAAATATCAATTTTGAGTGAATAATCTTCAGTAGTTACTAAAATATCGCAGTTTTCGTATTTCTGGAAATTACCGTTATATGGGAAGTGGGCGTGGTTAAAGTCCGATTTCGCCCATTTTCAATACCAACCTACCTTGGATTAAGGGAAACCTACATACCAAATTTCGTTGAGATATCTCAATTTTTGCTCGAGTTATCGTGTACACGGACAGACGGACAGACGGACAGACGGACAGACAGACAGACATGGCTTAATCGATTTCTTTTTTCATCCTGATCATTTATGTATACATTTGTCTATATCTATCTCGATTCGTTTTGCCTGTTACAAACAACCGTTATGTGAACAAAGTTATAATACCCTTGTGCACAAGTGCGCTCGGAGATAAAAGAATCATATATTCTCATTTCTCCAATTATCTGGAGCGATCATCAACATTAGTTTAAGTCTTTATATCTTATATTTTATATTTTGTACTAATATTGTAATAGTTTATGTGCTATTAATATCAATTAATGCAAATTTTGTTGTGCTAAAAAAGAAGAAAATTCTTATTGTACTAATGGTTATTGTTTAATAATAATAATATCATATAAGTGGGCGGTGCCACCCCAAAATTTCTAAAATTTCTTTTAAAACCACTTATTTGCTAAAAGGCGATTGTATATATCAATTTTGAATAAATATTGATGAGTTCCTTAGTCACACTGCTCAAAAAATCTGAAAGTCCGGTATCCGGTACATAAACAATATAAACTCAAAGCCGTGTTTACGAATCGCCTAATTTTGACAATTTTTATGCGATTGCTATAAATAAGCTATCAGTTTATATAAAAATAGATTTAATTCTAGATAGTACTACATATTTTGAAATTGTGGAATTTATCGATCGTCAAAATTTAAAAAAATTGGAGAAATATGCTTTTTTTTAATTTACCCGATAAAAAATCCCAACAAGCCAAGTCCGACAATAGATTACACAGGTCAACAACGTTTTGTTCTAGGAAAGTGTAGGGCCATTTTCGAAGTAATTTTTTGCGTAGAATCCGAATCCGGGGTTTAAATTGCTCTATCACGTAAGGACTTTGAGATATCCTAACCTAAAAGTGCAAAAAACGCTGTTTTTGCCCATTTTTGAGGTTTTGTAGCTACGCAGATTTTGCTCTTCATAAAAAAGTAGACGTGGTATTTTAAAGTATAAGTCTTCCTCTTTTAAATGCCGTTGAGTTTGCTTAAATATCTTTATTTTTCACTGAGATATCGCATTTTGAAGTTTCCATGTTTGTGAATTTTTCGATATTCGAAAATCCATTGAGATAACATGAGACGTGATACGATACTTACTTCAAAATGCGATATCTCAGTGAAAAATTAAGATATTTGAGCAAACTCAACGGCATTTAAAAGAGGAAGACTTATACTTTAAAATACCACGTTTACTTTTTTATGAAGAGCAAAATCTTCGTAGCTACATAACCTCAAAAATGGGCAAAAACAGCGTTTTTTGCACTTTTAGGTTAGGATATCTCAAAGTCCTGACGTGATAGAGCAATTTAAACCCCGGATTCGGATTCTACGCAAAAAATTACTTCGGAAATGACACTACACTTTTATAGAACATTCCGAACCCATTTTTTTGCAGACCTGTGTTATTATATACCATTTTAAAGGCCTATATATCCTCTTCTTAGATCATATTTGATCTTTGAAATCGAATCAAAAATAGTTATTCAAAAACGCATAAATCTACAAAACCGTACTTTCTGACCTAAGATGACAAGTCGCGATCTCTAAATGACCTTTAAAAAATATATAAAAATAGGCTATAATATTTCTCATAAAAGCGAATAAAATGAGGGGGTAGGGACTTGAAATTTCCAAAAAACATTTTCGATGGGCACCCTAATGTACATACACACATTTGTATGTAAGTAGGTACATAAGTACAAAGCAATTCAACAAAATGTTTACCTTTATTTCTGTGGAATAAAAAATACGCATATTTTTTAATTTGTGTAGTGTTTTTAAATTAAAAAATAGGTAGGGAAAATTGTATGTGCGTGTAGACAAAAATAAGGAAATTTCAAGACAGAAGTAGCGAATTTCAAAAAAATTTCTGAAATAAAACGCGCCAATAACTTTACCTCTGAGGTGTTGTGGAAAAAAGGTTTGAGTAGCTTCTCCCTTTCCGCTGCATTCAGCGCGTTGTTGGTCGAGATCTACACGTCGTACGTAAACATATAAATAATGCGTTTATTGGAAATTTTAACCTCTACAATTTTGCCATTTAAATGTGCCGCTTACTTCAAATAGAAATTGCTCAAAATTCGAAAAAAACCGCGCCACTTGCCTAATTTTGGGCATTTTTTGCATATTATTAGCAATAAGCAATTGTTTAAAAAAATTGATAGGCACATGAAAATTGTAGGGAATCGAATTCTCAACAAATTTGTTTACCTTTTTTCGCGAGAAATGCAAAATTCGCTCGCAAATCGTAAAAAACATAAAATCCAAGATGGCGGACGCATCCCATATCGCATTTGGGGGAAAATTTTTCATTTTGTGTTCACCTAAACAGGAGACACCTAACTGCGTCAACAAATTTCTTCCCGGAATTTTTTTTAATCTTACGTCGATTTTGGTCTAAAGTGATCGGGCTATATCAAGTGCACCTGATTCGCCGCCATTTTAACTAGACAGGGTGGTTGTTATTGTTAATTCTATACATTGATTAGATTTATCGTATAGTTTCAGGCAGGCTCATCATATACTACCTTTTGTTATTGTTGTTGTGGCGTAATTTGTTTGTTAGGAAAAATGGAAAAAGCAACAAGGTCCAAGCGGTAGAAGTTATAGCTGCTATTTCGGAGATCACCACATCTCCTCGTCAGACTTTGTTATTTTTTCTATTTCTCCTAACAAACAAAAATGGTGGTACAAAGCTCAATAACATTGCGAAAAATTAATCATACTTGGAAACCTATAAAATATTTAGAACATATATACAAATGTATATACATATGTATATACTTTGGAAATTTCATTTTATACATACTCGTTCCAAGATATGCATGAAACATTATGAAAACAGATTTACTAAATTTAATTTCTCTGATTTACTTTTAGATGAATTGTACATCTTGCCAACGCCAGCACTAAATGTTGCGAAAAGAGGTATGTTTTACTAAATTGTATAAATACATAATTGTACATATGTATGCGTGTTGTGCATTCGTGTGGTTTTATATATGTAACGGGTGATTTTTTTGAGGTTAGGATTTTCATGCATTAGTATTTGACAGATCACGTGGGATTTCAGACATGGTGTCAAAGAGAAAGATGCTCAGTATGCTTTGACATTTCATCATGAATAGACTTACTAACGAGCAACGCTTGCAAATCATTGAATTTTATTACCAAAATCAGTGTTCGGTTCGAAATGTGTTTCGCAAACCCAATTGCTGCGAACGGCGACGAATCGACATTTCACGGTCTTCAGCAACACTCTCAGAAACAGACGCAATATTCTCTTCTGTACGCACTGTACGCATTCGTGTGGTTGGTTTAATGTCCAATAAAGTAAACTGAGTGCGAAACTTGGTCACAATCGCATTAATTGTTTGCTCACTTGGTCGATTATGTAGACCATAAATCGGACGTAAAGCGAACCGAACACTGATTTTGGTAATAAAATTCAATGATTTGCAAGCGTTGCTCGTTAGTAAGTCTATTCATGATGAAATGTCAAAGCATACTGAGCATCTTTCTCTTTGACACCATGTCTGAAATCCCACGTGATCTGTCAAATACTAATGCATGAAAATCCTAACCTCAAAAAAATCACCCGTTATGTACATAAACAATTTATTTAGCTAGGGCCAAAACTTTGTCAAGGGAAAGCGAAATGATACTGGAGTTATAATTAAAAAATTTGAATAATGTTTTATAAAATTTTCGAATTTCTTATAAATCTTTTTGTAAACTTACTTTGTTTAAATATTCTTTGGAAAAATGTTTGCTAAACATCACCAAAAATTTAATTTTTTTTTTGGAAATTTTTTTGCAACATTTTTACATATGTAATTAATGTAATTAGCTGCCAGTGAGTGACACTTTCCGAAGACTTTGAGGCACTTGCTTTTTTATATATTAAAACTCAATGCTTCTTAACTAATAACACTGGTCAACATTGATTTTGGTGCGGAGCAGCTGCAATTCTTTTCAATCTAAGATCTTATACTAATTAGATAAATAGAAAAATAAATTGATCTCCTACGTGTAGTTTTTGGAATATCGCTATATAACGGTTTTTGATTAAAGAAAAAAAGTCGATCATACTAATTTCTAATGTATGGAGAATTCGTTAACCGATCAAAACAAATAACATATCAAATGAATGATAATTACAATTCATTTCTAATAAAAATTACATGTTTACGATATATATACACACATTTAAAAGCAATTTTTTTTCCAAAAAATGGAAAAATTTCCTATTTAATACTAATTTCTTAAAACTTATTAGCGAAAAATATAAGACATAAGTGAAAAAAATCCGCACAAAAAAGTGAAAGTTATTCATTTTTAATTGACCTCCGGGTAGTTNTTCTTGATTTTCTAACAATTTTTTTTCCACATTTCTTTTTCGGTGTTTTTAGTTTCGACAATTTAAATTTCGACGTATCGTACCAGACCCGTTTTGAAATAAACGTCAGCTTGTATATTAGCTGAAATCAATACTTTCGTGTACGCATTCTTAAGTCCTAGGAGTACGTTTCTATAAATATCCCAAACTGTATGTACACTGCACTGCACAGTGGTCCAATGTGCAAAGCTAGGGTAATTTGATAAAATTTTTTGTTTGTATTTTTTCAATAAAATTTTTATCAAATATGCAAGAATATTGTCTACTTTAGTGTAAATACAACTTTGTTGGAAAAAAATTGGCTACATATAAACATAACGGTATCCAAAAGTCATAGTAAGCAATAGGTTTGTATAGTAACCAATAGTCAGTACTAATTTGTACTGGAACCTGCAAATTTTTACTGGAAAAGTGTATGATAACCCAAAAAATTTGCAAGAGAGCACTGAATCGAGAGCGTAACAACACGGGAGAGCTGCAAATTCTTGCTAGTGAAATTTTTACTAGCAGAAATTAGCTAGCAGAAGAAGAAGAAGAATAAATGTCAAAAACCGCCATTTGTTGAATTGGTTTAGCACAAACAAAAGTAAAAGGAGTTTAAATACAAATATTGTGACTGTGCAAGTGCTTGTGTGTAACGCGCAGAGTTTAAGACTGATTTATAAATAGTAAAATGTTTACAGCAGAATGTCAAAACAGTGCAACGACTGTTCACTTGCAAGTTTTTGCTAGTTTTGTGTTCATTAACTTTTTCTGCTAGTTTACTCTTCTTCTCAATTTTACGCTCTATTTTGCTTTTACGCTCTCGCTGCAATGTTTTACTGGAGAAGTTACTATACAAACCTAATAAGTGAAAAATGAAATTGTGCGTGCAACGAAAACTGAGTATTTTTAAGGCTCAATAACTTGTTTAAAGAAACTTTGTTTTAACTTCATTTCAGCTGATAAAGTTTTAATCTTTTTGGTGAGTACCAAATTATTATTTTTTTTTTGTTTTTGAAGAAGAAATCTTTCTTATGTGGCGGAATATAGATCACTTACTATACTTATTCTCTCAATTGATGTATATACTAATGGAAACCACAAAAAAATTCTGCGGCTAGCTGCGGCACCCATACATTTATTTTCAATTTTCAAAATGACTCCTAAAATTTGAAGACAGGAAATTTTTGGCTGTCGACCCCTAAAAATGAAAGACTTGATGGAATAATGGATTTTGTACGAGGGAATATCAGTTTAGGATCTAGTGATAGAATCAAATTTGTTAAATTGAAATCATGCGTGCGAAGTTAATTCAGAATTTGGAGCTAAAGTGGACAAAATTTTTCCGAAAAAGAGAGCGGTTTGTTACTGGCTCGAATTTGAAATAGACTTGTCACAATTTGTGTGTTTTAAGTTTGGTAAGCTGACATTTTCTGCTGGTAGGCCAGCTAAAAGTTTTGAAGATTGTTGCCAAAAAGTTAAAATGAAGAAAGCTAATGAGCTTTCGAAAGTTATTGAACCAGATGTATTTCTTTATGGCCACTGAACTAAAAATGAGATCTTCAGCTACGCTACTTAATGAACTTTTAAGTACTTCTCCAGAAAGAGGTACTGCTATTAAAAAGGTCATATTGGCAAAGAAGAGTCCTAAAGGTATTTCGCCTGGAGAAGCTCTCGCACTAATAACACCGGCACACAAAAAAAATTTAGTGTGATGTGCATTTGACCGGACTTACCTATGGTTATGTATTTCGACCCGCAGACTCCGAATTTGAATTCAGTTTGGCCAATATACCTCCTAGATTTTGAGAAAACTTCAAAAAACCGTTTTTATTGCCGATTTTCATTATTTTTACGTTTTTTTTTTTTGAAGTTTTCTCGAAATCTAGGAGGTATATTGGCCAAACTGACTTCAAATTCAAATTCTGCGGGTCGAAATACATAACCATAGGTAGGTCCGGTCAAATGCACATCACACTAATTCTTTTTGTGTGAAGGTGTATTCGACACAAATTTATCAAAGCATCAGTATCCTTTACTTACTGAGGGCTATTTTCTAATGTAAGCAGTAAAGTTGCCTTTACTAACAGGGCAGATAAATTGTTCCTCACTTTAAAGTGTTTTGGTTTTCTTATCTTACCGGTAAAAATAAATTTGTTATTCCGTAGAGTGAAACTTCACTACATTTCCGAGAGTGAAACTTCACTACATTCGTCATATAATTTCAAAGAATGGCAATGCAACATAAGCAAATATAGAGCAAGAGCAACTGTTAGCAAAAACCAAAACCTTGATTGAAATATCTAATATATCTGACTCATGAACCAAAACCGAACCCAAATTTAAAGTTGGGTACACATTTTTAGAGGTTGCATCAGGTGAGCGATTCGAGAAATTAATGCGCTGATGAGAAAACGAAAACTCGTATATCGAGACGATAAAGTTGTTTAGCTTGATCTGACTATTTAACAGTTTTATTTTTATTTTATACATACATTAGGTGGCCGATTCGGATCCGGCGTCAATACAGTATATACATCACGGACTTTCTATTTTTAATTCATCCCAAATAGTTAAACAAGTTTTAGATATGCAGGTATCTCTAACCGTGCGCAAGTGCTTAAAAAATGTACCAGAAATTGACGAAAAATTTAACGATTTTTTAATTATATGGTTGGTAGGCGTGGTCGCTATTCGATCTCGCCCATTTTATGAGCAGAAGCTGTTAGTCATTCAGACGTAATTTGTGCAAAATTTCATCCCGATATCTATCTTAGTTCTTAATATAATAATTAAATTACCCTAATAGAGCAGATTGGACCACTGTTCGCTGTGAACACTTAAAACAGTGTGCCTATGCAATTAGGGAACCCAATCCCGAAAACGCGGGATCCCGCGACATTTTTTGGGGATCAGAAATGTGGGATTACACATGCGGGATCCGCGGGTTTTTGCGGGACTACAGAAAAAAATTAGAAAGACGAATGCGAGTTGTGAACGGTCTCGCCAAAATGTTCGTCGTGCATGGCTGTATTAAATATACATCATTTTATAACCCAGTAGGTAATTTCAGGAGTTAAAAGCCCTTCCGAAAGGCCTTCCTGAGGGTCAAGAGGCCTTCCACTCTAAATTCCTTTCTCCTTTCTTTTTTTGTATGGACTGGCATCAATTGAAGGGCTTCTCTTTTCGCTACCCATAGAACGCCTTCCAGAAGGGATTTTATAGGCCGCACTTCAGAAGGCCTTTTAAAGGAGTTCGTTGCTTCTTTAATTTATATAATTCATGCATCTTTAAAGTATTTGTTTAAGGTTTATATCAAATTTGTGTTATTGCAACTTTAAATGTATATTGAAATTCATTTGTAATGCTAAATAATAATAATTGACATGGTTAGGCCCTTCTGCAGGGAATAATTTTTCAGCCCTTCATGGGACCTTTTAGAATAACCTCGCTTAAGAACGTCTACCAAAATTATTATCTGGGAAATCATATAGATGTTCAAACAAAAAAACTACAGAACTGGCTACGACGGGGGAAACTTTCTCAA